ATAGCCAGTTCTTGCCTTGGAGGACAGTTTTTTTTTTTAAGAGAATGTTAAAATGACTTTGGTGTCAGAGCTGCTCAGTTTCAAGTTGGAATGGCCTGGAATTGGACAGAACATGATTGCATTTGGCTTAGTATTATTAAACCACATTTATCTCGGTGCTGTTAATTCTTTGCAGGTTGTGGGTTAGTGATGTGATTGTGTAGAAAACTCCCCCTTGAAATATCTGATTCTCCTTTATCCTGGTTTTTATGGAAGTATCCCAGGTTCAGCTTTGTAGGTACTAAGATTCCGCATTTCATACTCTTGACTAAATCAGTGGATGTGAAGCACAGTTGCTTGAATTATAGCGGAACTTCATGAGACTTGCATTTTGCTCTTCTCCCTTTATCTGGGTGTTGGCTAACCAGGAGAGCAGGGTAGAGACACTGGGCCTGAGCTATCACATTCATTAGGAGCTTCAGATGTAGACTTCTGATGGCTTGACACTATCTGAAGATACAGTCGTGAATGGCCTTGGCAGTAGGAAATGAGGATATTCATTGTACAATCTTCAATACTGCAGTTTTCCAACTGTGTCTTGGCATTTCAATTTTTTTCCTCAGGATCTAAAATCACCTGTAAGTGCTTGGTTAGTCTTCAGCTTGTAAGAAGCCCTGCCAGGTGTATCTTCTGCTTTTCTCTGAGGGTAAAGAGAATGCATAGGTGGGCTGTTAGAGTTTCTGGTAGTGTCAGCGTTGTTTCCTGTGTACACACAATGCACCAGAATTCTTCCAAGCATGGACAGGAGTAGCTGCACTTTTAGAGAACCAGGGGATGCTTGTGCCCCTGTGGGTTGCCCCTTGGCAGCTCTTTCTACAAGGAGTAGTCTAAGAAGCCAGTTTAAGTGTAAGAGAATCAGCAAGTCCCTTTATCTTCAACAATAAATACTAATTAGAGAACAAACTGCTAAACCTATGATTGCTTTCAACAGTAAATGCTAATTCATGACCATTAAGATAATGTATGATTGGATTTGAAAGTCATTTTTGACGAACCATCACATCATGCAAATGGGCAAAATAACTACCACAAATGTATGGATGTTTCATGTGAATTGAATACATAAATATGAATCTGTTGGAGACTGTAAGAATCTTGATATGTTGAAAAGCTTTGGTAAAGAAAACCTAAAATGTGAGCATTAGATTGGGTGAGAGTGTATGTGTATGTCTGTGTGTGTGTGTGTATTGTGTGTATTTGTGTGAGACACAATGTAATTCTAACAGCTTAGAAAGCAGTGTACCCCATTATAGGGTATTAAATTTATATTTAGTGTTTGTTCTGATGGAAGGTGATACCAAATGAAGTAGGGAACACTCTCTGTGCTTTATCTAGATCCAGTGAGTAGGGAAGGAAAAAAAAAAAGTATCCTTTGAAGACAATTGTAAATGCTGGATGAAGTATACTTTTAATAGTATGGTTCTTAAATCTGAGCATTTTGAAGAGGAGAATGAGTGAGTCTCTGAAAAGGATGCACTTGATAAACCAGAGAGTACCTACTAGCAAAGCTTCATGGAGAAAAGAGCAAGGGGGGAAGCTAGCACGCCTTGCATTTCCTGGCCTCTCCTGTCCTTCAACTTACTTATCTTCCTCTGTGTTTTCTTGGGCATTTTTCCTAGTCAGTTCTAGCCAGAAATATCTGGCACACTCCCACTGGGTGACTGAGGAGAGTTTTATAGAGGTGTGGACCAAGGTGTAGGGAGTAAGGGTTGGTAAGAGCCAAGAACTCAGAAGAGAGCCATATGGAGGAGTCACCCAGCATTAGCTTGTGGCCTTTTGAAGACATGGCACATCTGAGTAGCCACTGCAGGAAGAGAGCTGCAGGCACACGCTGCTGCCCCAGTCTTGGTATGGACTCACCCTAAGTGTGAGGCAAAGTTAAGATGCTCATGAAGCCTGTACCTGTCAGCCTCTGGAGTAGTGCTCTGCTCAATGCGAAGGGGAAGGAAGGAGCCCTGCCTGGGTTTCTGGAAATAGGAAATCACCTTTCTTTAGGATTGATCTTCAAAAGGCCTTTCTCTTTCTTAATTCCTCCTCATTCATCTATTGGTCATGTATTCTGCCTCTCTGTTAGTATGACAGCAAGCAGGGGGGACTCCACCCAGAGGCTCTTGCATTAGACCCAAAGCGAGAGCCAGTGGTGACTCTTCTTGACTAATGTGATTGAAATAAAATACAAGCCAGTGGAGCTTACACTTCATCTACTTTCTTGTCTTTATCAATTTAAGGGGCAACTATGTAAGAATTTTCAGATGACCAGAAGGAAAGGAGTCCTACTGCCTGACTGTCTTTTCTGTCATTAACCTTACAAGCTAAAGTCTCTTGTGTTTTTATGATACAAAGGACTGGCAGAACAGAGGTCGTGTCCACAGGTCTGCCTGAAAGAACAGAAAACCTTTGTGGGGAAATTGTGGTTCAAACATAAACAGAATCTGGAGTTTTTTTCATACATGTTTGTAATTGTAAATATATTCTATAAATTGTCGATTAATAATAAATAATAAATAATGATTAATTAATAATTAATAATTCCAGATAGCTAGTATTTGTGGCTGGGATTACAGAATATTCATTATGTAATTTTAAAATTAATTCCACAAAAATGTGAAATACACATTTATATCATGTCACATTTATATTTCAAGGAATTCTACATCACTTTACTAAAAGTCACAGGGGGCTGGGGAGATGGTCCAGTGTATAAAGTACTTGTCACATACAAGTGTGAAGACAAGAGTTTAGATTCCCAGCCACTTTGTAGAGTGGGTGTGACAGCCTGTCTATAATTCCAAGGCTCAGAGAATACCTCAGGATCCCCAGAACAAGATGGCCAGCTACACTAATGGAATCAGTGAGTTCTGGGTTCAATTGAAAGACTCTACTTCAATGAATACGGTGGAGAGTGACAGAAAAAGACTTGACATCAACCTTGGGCCTCCACACATACATGAATGCACGTGCACCTACACACAAATTGAATAAGCATAAACATACATGAATGTACATGTACCCACACACAGGTGAATGAGCATACATCACACGCAGACCACACACATACATATGAGATGAGTAAGTCCATTAAACTCCATACATGTCACAAGAAGGTTATACACAAGTTACCTACAGCAGGCCTTCGGGTCCAGGAATCATCTTTTATTTTAAACTGTCTGAGGGTTCTGTATTTCCCAAGACATTTGCAGTCATTTAAGAGTACTTTGAGCAGGGCGTGGTGGCACACACCTTTAATCCCAGCACTCAGGAGGCAGAGGCAGGCAGATCTCTGTGAGTTCCAGGCCAGCCTGGTCTACATAGTGAGTTCCAGACCAACTGGGGCTGCAGGGAGATCCTGTCTCAAAAAGACCAAAAAAAAAAAAAAAAAAAGTTGTGAATACTTGGATTTTCCTGTTTATGAAGATAGCAGTAGAATCCAAACATCAAAAAACAAAGTGGCGCTGTGATTTGTACTTTCTAGTTGTCCTTGTCCTGTCCTCCCTTCCCCTTTCTTCCCCTTTTCCTTCCTTTCGTCTTTGAACTCAGACTTGTAGGGAGAGATGGGCATTGAGGATCCTGGCCGCAGGCTCACCCACATTTCATTCCGTTCTTCCACATTCCATAGCTAAATTGTCCTTTTGCTTTCTTCACCTCTCTGAGGGAAGAAGGCAAAGAAAGCCATTCATTGTTTTGGAAATCTCTGAAAGAGAGCGATCAACAACAGAGAGAACGAACATGAAAAAAAGTCACTGCATTTGAAAATATGAAGGTTAAACATAAATCTATTTGTAATTTTATTTATTTTAAAACATTTTTATTTATTATTTTTATTATTATTTTGTGTTTGAGTGTATTACCTGCGTGCATGAAAGTCTACCCATGTCATGCGATGCCCATGGAGGCCAGAAGAGAGTGCTGGCTTCCCCTGGAACCAGAGTTACAGATGGTTGTTAAGCTGCCATTTGGGTGCTAGGACTCAAACCCAAATCCTCTGCAAGAGCAGCCAGTGCTCTTAACCACTGAGCCACCTCTCAAGCCCCCATCTGTAGTATTAAAAATGAATGTTGAAGATGGGGAAAATACTGAAACCTAGAAGAAAAAATATTCACTAACAGTGCTGAGTTGTGTTGTTACTCACAAATGGTGGAGGGATAGCTCGATCAACTAGCTCCCAATAAATAAACATTGGATACTGCTATTCAGAAAAATAGCCCATGTTCTGATCTTACCAGGAATCTGTGATCTTCTAACCCATTTCAAGACTGGATCAAATGTCTCAGAAGTTGTAGGCCTTTCTTCTTGTCTTTCTTTTTTAAAAAAATATTTATTATTTTGTGTGTATAGGTATATTACCTGCATGTATGGAAGTGCATGTGTGTCATGTGATGCCTGAGGAGGTCAGAAGAGAGTGACAGATCCCCTGGAACTGGAGTTATAGATGGTTGTCAGCCACCATGTGGATGCTGAGAACTGAACCTGAGTCTTCTGAAAGAGCAGCCAGTTCACTGAACCTCTGAGCCATCTTTCCAGCCTCCCCCTACCCCCGTCTTTCTTAAAGGAATTAGTGTAAGGGCATTACTATTTCCAGGTCCAAATCCTGACTAAACAATCCAGAGCCCGGGGTACATTTAGATGCATTCTAGGGAGAGGGCTTTATCAGGTTTGTCTATGTTCAGAAGATGCTGTTGCCATTGTTTCTTAGAGATGCATGGTTGTAAGTCCCTGTTCTCATAGCTCCATGCTGAGTAGCTTCCTAAGAGGTGACTGGTTTTTGAGCTCATTCACCTTTGAAATGGGCTACGATTTATCTAATTTTGCTGTGTGCCCCCATAGGTGACATTTCAACAGTCAGTGATGCTTCTCTCAGCAGGTCTTTGGAAGATGTCAAATCCAGGCCAATGTCTAGTTTTGTTATCTGGAAGTCCAAGAAGGTGTTGTGATCTAATGTGCTGTTGCTGTTTCTATTTCAGGGACAGGAGAGAGTGGGAAGAGTACTTTTATCAAGCAGATGAGGATCATCCATGGGTCAGGGTACTCTGATGAAGATAAAAGGGGCTTTACCAAACTGGTGTACCAGAACATCTTCACAGCCATGCAGGCCATGATCAGAGCTATGGACACACTCAAGATCCCATACAAGTATGAACACAATAAGGTAGGTGAACCCTTCATTGGAACAGTTGACAGCGTGGTCCATGAGGTACTTTAGTGTGTCTGGAATGCATAATGGGTGTTTGAAGTACACAATTTCCTTTTCTTTCTTTCTGTGTGTGTCACATGGGTGCACAGGTGCTTGCTTGTGGAGGCCAGAGGTTGCTGTTGAGCGCCTTCCTCTGTCACTTTATGAGCTCATCTGTTTTATAAAGCAAAACAGGGCTTATGATTTATCTAGCCTATTTGATACTGAGAAATTGTTCACAGTTGCAAAATTGGTTCTAGATGTGGGAATTCCATGCCAACATGCTGGGATTTTGTTTGTTCTTGCTTAAATGCTATTCATTGAATGGGAGGTCTTGCTGATTAGCTTATAGGAGGGAGGTGCTGTATACTAAATGGTGTAGCATTGCATACCTCTTTATAAACCTCACCCTGTTCTAAGGAGTGCAAACTCAGGAAGCAATTTGTAATAATTTGCAGTAAGTTGCAAACTTTCACTAATAGCAAGATTAATTTTTGAGTCTGTATCCATTGTCCTGTCCTTGGAAGTCCTTTGCCTGTTTAAACAAGTTTGTTTATATATAGGTGAGCTGTCTGGACTCAGCCCAGGATGAGAGAACACGTGGCTTAGGATTTATTTTGAACATACAGTTATCTAGAATTTGTTTATTTATAAATACTATCTTGTCTTTTCTCTGAATAAAGTTATTCATATCTAATGATAAAGGGGCTTAAATGTTTGCCACTTGGTCAGCTCTGTTTAAGGTTCTGCTTAAGCAAGGCATTTGACCATGAGATGGCTCTATTACTTGTTTCTTTCCAGAAGAGTGAATTCCATCACTGTTATGGCCCCATCTTACACAGACATGTTCTTTGGCTTACCTTCTCTGCCTTGGCCTAGAATTTGATTTTTTAAAAACCTGCATGTATTTAAGCGTACCTGTGTCGTGCAGTGTCCACAGAGGCCAGAAGGTGTCAGATCTCCTGGAATGGAGTTAGGGGTAGTTGTTAACTAACAGGTGAGTGCTGGGAGCCAAACCAGGGTCGTCTGCGAAGCAGCCTGTCCTTTTCACTGAGCCATCTCTCTCCAGCCCCTAGAATTTGATTCTTGATAAAAAAGAAAAAATGCAGTGTCCCTCTGTTAATATGGCTAAGGAACTGTCTTGAATTACGGGTTGGGGGAGGATGTCACATGTGTGTGTGTGTGTTTTGGACTTGGAAGTTGATATTCTTTCTGTATTCCTGTTGTAGTTTTTTTCATAGGTACCTGCATTGTCTCCTCAGTCATACTGCAAGTTGCCTTGCAGGAAGCAAACATACTCTCTTTGTAATGTTTTCCTCATAACATGTCAGGAACAAAGCAGGAGATTTGTTCATTGCGTAGATCACTCTAGATAGGAGATCCTGGTACCCTGCTGCCATTGATTTATGATTTAGGTGAACTGTGAAGTCAGGGCATGATGGCAGTATAAAAGTATTGATAGTCTCTGTTCCATTGTCAGTCCCTGGAAGAGAAAACAACCTGATTGAGTGCTGTTACGTCCAGGGAACTCAAGGCAGCTATGGAGAACCCAGGCCTGTACTACTACCGAGCAGGCAGTTTCGTTCTACATCCCTTATCTGAAAATGTAATGCCTGAAATGCTTCAAAATCTAAAACTGAAAATTCTACACCATGAAACTGCTTCACGTGCAAAATTATTATTATACATTTATTATTCTTATTGTCCATGTATGTGTTTTATGTGCGTGCATAAACACAAGTGCATGTTCCCATGCTGTGGTACTCATGTGAGAGTCAGAGGAGTCAGTTCTCTTCACTTCATGGGATCTAGAGATCGAATCAGGTCATCAGTGTAGATGGCAAGTGTCTTTACCTGCTGAGCCACCTTGCTAGCTCCTCATGTGGAAAATTATTGAAAATTTTGTATGACATTACCCCCAGGCTATATGTATACAGTATATATGAAATATAAATGAATTTTGTGTTTAGATTTGGCATCTCACAGATCCATGTCTATGCACATGTTCCCAAGTCCAAAACCTCTGGAATCTAAAGTGTTTCTGGTCTATTTCAGGGAAGGAATATTCAACATTATGTAGTTTCTAAGTTTAGTCTTAGAAGTTCTGGTACCAGGCTCATTCAGCAACTAGGTCCCTTTGCCTAACCAACTGAAGATCTTGTTGTTCTGACCCACATCTTCCCCTTTAATTTGGGGTGGAGGGTACTACTGAGTTCAATCCTCAGAGGCCAGGGAAAATATTGGACATGACTGTGTGAACTTGTAATCTCATCACTGCACAGGCAGAGATAAGAGGATACCTAGGGCTCACTAGCCAGCCAGCCAAGCCTAATTGGTATGCATCAGGCTAATGAAAGACCCAGTCTCAAAGGAGGTGGACTGTATCTGAGTACAGCACTAAGGTTGCCCCTGGCCTTCACACACTTGCACATGTTCAAGCATACCCACACCCATAGGTACACAACACATTAAAGTTTTTTAAATTTATTTTTATTTTATGTGTATGAATGCTTTGCCTATATGTGTGTTAAGTGCACCTGTGTCATATAATGCCTACAGAGGCCAGAAAAGAGTGTCAGATCCCCTAGAACTGGAGTTATGGACCGTTGTTAGCTGTAGTATGGGTGCTGGAACTGAACCTGGGTCATCTGGAAGAGCAGCCAGAGCTCTTAACTGCTGAGTTATCTCTTCAGCCATACATTTTTAAAAAGTATCACATTAAACACATTTAAAGCTTTCTGAATTTTCTGCATTTACTAAAAATTTCAAGATCCCAGAAGCCATTTTTCAAGAAAAAGTAGCCAAAATTCTGAAGGACCTATCACCCTAGTCCTGTCTTATCTTCTGAATATGAAATTTCTACAGCTGGGCGTGGTGATCCACACCTTTAATTCCAGTACTCTAAAGGCAGAGGCAGGTGAATCTCTGTGAGTTCAAGGCAGCCTGGTCTACATAGTAAGTTTCAGGCCAGGTGGGGCTACATAGTAAGACTCTTCCTCTTAAAAAAAAAGGAAAAACTCCTTTTTTTTTAAACCAACATGAGGGAATTTTCTTAGTTCACACAAAGCTCATATGCTGACATCACTGAAGTAATTTCCACCAGTGTAATAAACATATAAAGGCAGAACTAATAGACATACATTGTCACCTGTCTACCTGATAAATCAGATCAGCCAAAGGTTTGCTGGCTGCAGAAGCCAACACTGACTGAGGAAGTAGGCAAAGAGTGGAAAGTGAACTCACAGGACTTGGAGACTGACCCACTAGGCTTGGGAAACCCGAACTCCAGCCAATTTCAGTCTTTTGTCATTCACATTTAGATTCAGATTCCTGGGAGAAACTAATTGGCCTAGCCTGGATACTTTGCTAATTATTTAGACAAGGAAAAACTGGTCAGTGTGATTGTGCTAGATAGCTTTAGTTGTCCCTGGGTGAAGGGAGCCTCAATTGGGGAATTGCCTTCATTGGACTGGCCTGTGGCCATGTCTTTGGGGTATTTTCTTGATAGTTGAGTGGTGTGAGAGTGCCCAGCCCACTGTGGGTGGTGCCACCCCCCACCCCGTGGGCCTGTGTTGCATAAGAAAGCAGGCTGAGCAGGGGCCAGGGGAACAACAGTTCTGTCTTGCATAAGAAAGCAGACTGAGCAGGTACCAGGGGAGCAAGCCAGCAAGCAGTGTCCCTTCAGCTCCTGCCTCCAGGTCCCTGCCCTGAGTTTCTTCCTTGGGCTCTCTCAGTGATGAACTCTGACCCAGGAGATGTAAGCCCAATAAACCCTTTCCTCCTCAAGTTGGTATTGGTCAGAATATTTTGTCACAACAATTGAGAAATAAACTAGAACAATGATTGACAGTCCCTGAGGGAAGCTAGTGGAGGAAGGGACTACTGGCACAGCCACAGATCTCTACTGGAAAAGTGCACAGCTAATTTATAACATGAAACGACATGTGAGTTCTCTATACATGCAAATCCTCTGAGTTTACTTAGTATTTTCCCTAACGTACAATTTCTTATTATGGACTTATTCTGGTTTACATGAGGGGAGGGGCTCAAAGGGGCCAGTGGTTTAGTAACAGTTACATGTAAAGCATATGAAGCATTTGCACCTAAGCACTGAATGCCTAGTAAACCTGCAGTTTTTCACATTTCTAATTAAAGCTCAGTTTTGTCATACTCTGAGTCTGAATTTTTTTCATCTATGGAAATGGATCAAATAATTATTAAATAATTGGGGCTGGAAAGATGGCTCAGCAGTTAAGAGCACTGGCTGCTCTTGCAGAGGACCTGGGTTCAATTCCCAGTGTCCACTTGGTGGCTAACATAACTCCAGGTCCAGGGGATCCGATGCCCTCTTCTGACCTCCACAGGCATTGCATGACATGGATGCACTTACATGCATGCAGGCAATACACTCATATACATAAAATAAAAATAATAAATAAAATATTTAAAAATAAAAGGTTGAAAAGATAGTGCATGTGAACATTACATGATTTTTGAAATTTTGGAAGTGAGGGTCAGGGCATAAACAGTTTTGGAAATTATAATAAAATGAATTGTCATCAGAGAGAATAGATTCTGCTAACCTTCTGTTTTTATTAAGAGAAAAACAAAGTATTTCAGACAGCATGACTGAAGTTAGGAGGTGTCTATAGGGAAGCTCTCTTCAGAGTGACAGCCATTGAAATAGAATAGCGAGAGCAGTAAAGAAAACTCCTTATCTGCATGTGTTCCGAAAGTTAGATAGATAGATATAGATAGATAGATAGATAGATAGATAGATAGATAGATTTTTTTTTTTTTTTTTTTTTTTAGTCTTTTTGAGACAGGGTCTCCCTGTAGCCCCACCTGTTCAGGAACTCACTGTGTAGACAAGGCTGGCCTTGAACTCACAGACATCCACCTGCCTCTACCTCCCAAGTGCTGGGATTAAGGTTGTATGCCACCACACTTGGCTAATAGAATGTGTTTTTAACATG